GCGTGCGTGTGTGTGTGTGTCTGTGTGTCTGTGTGTCTGGATGTGTACAGAGCTAGAGACTACACCTGTGGTCCGATTTCGATGAAATTTGGTATGTAGGTTCTAATCCATGGTATCTCCAGGCGTTTTTTCATTTTTTTGAAATTTTGATTTTTAATGGAGATTTTCCCATAAAAACCCATAAAAAAACCGGAAAAATCGGATTTTCCAAAAAATGGCCCGAACGATTTTGATAAAAATTTAGTATGTTGTAGCCCTTTACATTCTGAACAAAATGGTACAAATCCCATTTCTGTAAAAATTACGGTTCAAAAGTTATGGTAAATTATGTTATTTTCCCATAAAAACCCCATAAAATAACGAAAAATAGGATTTTAGACAAAAATCCGGTTTTGATTTAACATTGTATGTTATGACCCTTACAATTGTGATAGTTTTTTTCATTTTTTAGAAATTTTTATTTTTAATGGGGATTTTCCCATAAAACCCCATAAAATAACGGAAAAATAGGATTTTCCCAAAAATGGCCTGAACAATTTTGATAAAAATTTAGTATGTTATAGTCCTTTATATTCTGAAGAAAATTGTACAAATCCCATTTCTGTAAAAATTACGGTTCTAACAACACAGTTATTGTAAATTATATTATTTTCCCATAAAACCCCATAAAATAACGGAAAATCAGATTTTTCCAAAATTGGCTCGAACGATTTTGAAAAAAATTTAGTATGTTATAGTCCTTTAAATTCTGAAGAAAATTGTACAAATCCCATTTCCGTATATTTACTCTCACCGCTTACACATGATAAAGGTTGTTGACAAGCTTATGGGAGAAAGTATGTGTCAGAATGCTGATACCGTTTATTTTGTTATTGTTACAATACAAACGAAAAATATTGTTTTACCACGGTTGTATAATAAATCGTTAAAGAAATCTTCGAATCAATTACCATTCTGATGTTTGTTTATACGTCATATTAATCAACAGTTGGCTTCAAAGATCGAATCCTCATGATACTTGAAACTAAAAATTAAAATTAAAAAGAATTAAGATAATTAATCATTCTCACTAATTTATATATCTTGCCAGGGGGTAAAATTCCGGGGTTAAATACGGGTGGTAAAATTCCGGGGATAAAAATCCGGGGGGTAAAAATCCGGTTTTTATACACACTAGGTTTTTATAATTTGATGTGTTCTGATTAAATTCACAACCGTGAAAATATATGTTTAATTCCGCGTTTAATCCATCGAGCTAATGTCGCGAAACTCAAAAGTTCGTGGCCGGAATTTTACCCCCTGGTTTGTGACGTCACGTTTGCCCAGGGGGTAAAATTCCAGGGGGATAAAAATCCGCTTCCCCCAATTTTAGAGTACCATGAAATTTGAGCGTGCACCGGAAAATGCCACTTTCGGTACTAGTAATGAACTGTATTATTAGCTTATGTCCTAATCCGCCCGAGTTTCATTTCGCCCGTAACATAATTAGTCTCATTTCATCCAAGGTCCCAGAGTAACCCTTATAATCCTCATCTCTACCTGCGTCATGAGTCTCATTCCATCTGCGTAGGCGAGAACCACCTCCTAGATCCCCTCTCCCAACTATGTAAAGCCCTCCCCTGCCCATCACCCGTTATCCACCTCCGACTACATAACACGGTTATGTAAGTTACGGATAGCGACACAAGATAAGTGCAGAGTTGAGGGAGGGGATAAGAAACGCCCATGTCATAAGGGGAACTACTGTAACAGATGAGCAATTTTCTATTAGTGGGAACACTTAAGTTTCCATCTAAACTATGTGATTCTTGTTCCGATTAATAAGATAACACAATGTTTGGCAGCATCCATTATTGTGTTTTGAAAGTACAGAAGCAGATATAATAAGTAAACAATCGGAAACCCTATTAAAGCCAAAACTAAATACGATGTTCTTTAAGCTTCTGATTCCCAGTCTATTATTTACCTAAATACAATTAATTGTATTTAATCTAGTAAGTTTCACTACATTTAAACTACAATTGGGAAGCAATGGGTAAAGTATCAACATCAACGTAAACTTGACTAGCTACAGGTGTTTGAATAGATTATGGAGATGTTTGATATTTCCTATTCTGACTGAAACCACAGACTGTAATATGTATATTACAGTATTATATTGTCTGTGCTGAAACATATCAAACGTATATGTGATACCTGTTCTGTGCCTATTTTCTGTTTGTGTTAAGTTTCTAGAATCTTAGAAAAAAAAGTTGCAATATGTAGGTCTATTTTAAATATCTTTGCCACGTTTAAATTCATAATGAAATAATGAATAATGGGAATTCACTTAGATGATGAGTGATGATTAAACATTTTGTTTTAAATTGCCTGAATACATTACAAGATGAGGAATAGAATCCCAGTACATCCGCGTTGTTCCCTGAGGTTCCAAGTCACGATCTACTCGCGTTCAAGGTCTGCCGCAAACATGTGCGTCCACTAGCGGTTCAAAAGGAGGGGCTATAAATGCCTAAGGGGACATTTCGTCCTAAAACAAACCTGAGGTATTTGGATTGGACACAGTTCTAGACGTTGAAAATTGCTATAAAAAGCCACTAAACAGCTTTAAAAATACCAAATTTTGCGCGAGAGGATCCCTGGACCCCTCTTCTTTCTGGGGAGGGGATGTAGAACAACCCCAGTAGCCCCCCTTGACAAGGTATTAGAACCCCCACTGCGTGTGAAATACAATATTCTGTAGCAATTACAAAGTTATTATGCTGAAAAACAAGATCATATATGACCTAACTACATGTTTACCCTACTTATTGTCAATCTACAAAATGTTCACAGTTTAACGATTTAAATGATAAAATTTCCGCTTGTTTGTTTCGAGCAGTTTTTGATATACAAAATGAACGGTTGGCAATAAATCACAATTACTCTCTAAGTAACACCCCATGTAGGCTACTTGTAGCTTTCATATTACACAAAGTGTTAATTGCTATTAACACTGAAGGTGAGTTAAGAGTGGGGCCAACCAAGGAAATTTACAGTGTGTCGAGTAAATTATCGTAGCGTGTGTGGTAAATGGAAATTACACCTATGGGACAATGTTCGATCTACGAGAGGGCGTAGTAGACCATAGCAAAGGTGACACTAATGAAAATGCAAACACATCATTCTGTTACTGCCAGAGGTCCTTGAACAATTTTATTGATTTATTCTTTCACAATGCAAAAAAAAAAAAAACATCGTAGGATTTGCTTTAGCAGGCTAAAGAATAACTTATCTTCCTATGTGCCTTATAGCCTACCTAATGCATCAGAGATCCTGGGATCAGAGATCAGAGATGTGTCATCTGTTGGTCAATAACGAGATGGAAACCGAACCCTTAATGTTACTTGAAAAACTTCTGATCAATAGCATGATGCATTTTTCGTCCATTATTGTTGAACAGGATCTACTGTAGAACTATCTTGACTCGTTATTTGAATTGAGACGATCTCCTGTAGTAGTTGAGGAGCTTCTTATTGATAAATTACGAGGGAAAATCAAGATCTGGGATATGTAAATTTTCCACATCTGCACAGTTCTCGACTTCCTATAAGCGGACTTAAGTGGTGTATTCAAAGTTATCGATAGTCTATACCAATATTTCCAGGTCCAATTCTGATCCATCACAACTAATAAGGTACAAAATAACGCTGTGTATTTAGTTAAACGAACTTATCATGATCTAAATACCTACTTCCATAAAATTTGCGAATGCAACTATAAAACGTATATTTTTCTCTACTGCCTACTTCACCGGGATAAATGCATCGTGATCTCACAGAATTACTGCAGTTTATAAAACAACTGCCATCGGGTCGACTGGCCATCATGAGTTTGGATTCCCGTCGATTGTATCACAACTGGACACTACTGAAACATAACAGAGATGGATGCTGATAAATCACAGGCATGACTATGACTCATCCGTCACACTGTTGGAAACGCTAAGTTATTTGCGTGTAATATGCAGTGCATAGTAATATGCAAGTGCAATAAAATAAATCGCGTTCAATAATATTTATTTAAAATCTTTCTATAACATATTATTAGAGAAAAACACTCTGAATTACGTATAAAAATGTATGTATGTTTCTGCTTTTTACATTTAGGCATATAGCCTATCCATAAATGTAAGGACAGATAAAAAAAAAAAACTGCGGTTTGTGAAGTATATGTAATTTACAAAGGACACAGTTAGTGGTTAAATTCTTGTATTATTGTATAACTAGTGCATCTGTTGCTCGAATTCGAGCAATTGCAAAGTATTACAGGCGTTATTTCAATACGAAAAACAGTCATAATTTAGGATGACTTAAAAGAGTCGACTTAAATATAATTTCATAGATAAAACATAGTCATCAATCAGTCCACTCCAGTTATCGAAACTGAAAACGAACGCTTTTGTGTGTATGGGGTGTTTACTATGAACAGCTGTAATTAATACAAATTATTCGTCTGTTTTTTAAGTAAACAAAATTCTTTCTTCATAAGATATACATTGGGATTTTGATGGCCTGTGGGGCAAAGTCCGAGGACTAATATTACAAGAATTGGTGAAAGGGGCATCTATATAAAAAATACTTAATTTTGTCATATCGTTTGTAAAAATCCGTCCATTATTAACGGAGGAGTAGTGTTTCGTAGAAATCACCTTCACGTATTATATATAAGGATTACAAGAATTGGTGAAAGGGGGCATCTATAAAAAAAATACTTAATTTTGTCACATCGTTTGTAAAAATCCGTCCATTATTAACGGAGGAGTAGTGTTTCGTAGAAATCACCTTCACGTATTATATATAAGGATACTGTGTGGCTCAAAGTAAATGCCTGAAGGTTATTATGTTCTGTTATTTGCACCAATCATATTTAATACTTCGATTATAAAGAACATTAATCGGATAAACCCTTTGACCTATAACATATGTAACAATTCGACATAAAACATAGTATAAACTTACCAAACGAAGTGCACAGAGTTGTATTGAGGGCATTTCTGCTGATCTGAATGATGGAGAGGAAGAGATAAGCAGTGAGAAGGACCGCAGAGTGACACATGAGGGATATCCCGTGGAGATTGCGTAGTTCAGGCAGTACGGAGTAGACTAGGAAGGTTACTACCATGAAGGGGATGGAGATGATCATACCGATCGGATATACAGTGAACATTGCTTTGGTCTCGGGGTCCTCGTCCTGGTCCGGGAAACACACGAGGGTCCTGATCTCCTCACTGCCGTTCAGCGACTCAAGACAGTAACCAGAAGCGTCTATGTAGTTGTTTTCCAGATGGATTCTACCGTCCACCATCAGATCGTACTGGTCCTGAGGCTGCGTCTCCGGCATCAACATGAACTTATCGTGACGACAAACGTCTCCGTACAGTATACGGAAGTGGTCTTGAGCCACGTCCGCAAAGTTGCCCGGACTCTGATACACCGGAAGGGTAAAGTTGTCAAACGGGGAAGGTTCCGGATTTTTCTCACAACGTGCCTGACGCATCGGGACTTTCACCATGTACTCGTCTTTGGCGCAGCATTTTCTGATGCAAGGATTCAACGCGCAGAGACATCCCCGAGTAGTTCCGTTGACGGTAAAGTAAAACCCTGTGGGATAAACGTCTCCGTGGTCCACCACCGACCCATTACTGTAGAACTGTGGACTGAGCAGCGGAACACTGAGGTCTATGTGGCAAGGGTAAGTGACTGGTGGCGTATCTCTCATGTGATAATACACAGGCACTGCGATCATCACAACTATCACGACGACGACACATCCCGAGATCTTGTAAATCCTATTCAGTTCCCGTTGTCTCTTCTGATCTACCGACCCCGCGCCCAACTTGCGGGCCATCCTACCTGAGCCCTCACTTCACTACTCACTCCCGCGCTCTCGCCGGCTGAGGACTGACTGTGACTGAGAACGAGAACGACTTGTGGTGAACGGACAGTCTAGTGGCTCACACCAGAGAGCGCATGCGCGGCCCTGGCTCATCACCTTCATTCACAACAATCCTACATTTACATTGTATTGCTGTAGGTATAATATCACGGCCACAGCATATGCACTGTGGGAATTCGCATACTCTTTCACCATAACAATAATTCCACATTGTGATTTACTCATTCACCATTGTTGGATTTATAGCAAACAATTGTAGGGTTTATGAGGTTGAATTGTTGAATATCAAACACTAGTCCATGTTACATAGAATTTTGCATTCTCCATTACTAGCATTTCAACTCCACCACTGTATTTTGTGTTCCGGTAACATAATACTGTATTTGATGTTTTCAACTCCAGGCAAAACCTACTTATTTGTTAACTTTTTGTTGTATGTTTCATACAGCGTCAAAACATATTGTTGACAACCGAGAACTTTTTGTTTACTTAAGGTAACTCGAAAGTACAGCAATATGGGATGTCGACATCGTCGTATTTTTAAGGCCTCAAGTCCGGTTTTAAGAATAACAATCTGTTCGTTTTATCTCTTACTTATTCGTGTAAAATAGAAATATGTTCCTTGTTCTTACATTTATAAAATACAGTAATGTTTGAAGTTTATTGATTTATTAACATATTTAGACGACACAAATTGCTTGTAAAGATCCACGCTTTATAATTACTTGCATTATAAACTAATTTGTTTATACGTCAAGCACATTTTTCTAAATCTTATAGTATCATATAGTAAAGTTTTAGCTAGTTTCCTAGTTAATTTCAAGTTCGGTGTTTTTAAATGGCATTTTCATTGGCCTAGCTTACATCTACTCACAAATTTAAAATTTGAACCAGTGGCTACTACTGATAGAACAAAACTTTCCAGCTCTATGTTAAAGTTATCGCCAGTGTTGAATCCAAATTGATGTTTTGACGTGAGTCGCCAACAGACTGCACTGATGCAATTGCTGATTTCTGGCAAATAATGAAGACTTTTCAACATAGTCGAACTGATGGAATAGGTTGCGTTGTAAACCGTAGCATCTTTTATGGCATTATTTAGACTTCTACAACGTTAAATACCGAGTTCAACTTAAGACAGAAATATGTCATTATAATTAGTAATACTTATTTGTTGTTTTTAGATGATAATGTAAAGATCTAGGTTTTTATCAGGAAACGTTAAAAATTTTTAACATGTCAAAAGTGCGCTTAAGTGAATTCTAAATTCGTGTAATTTTCCTGGATAGGATAGGCCTCCACGGTCACAATAAATTTGTAGTTTCGCGGTTGTCGCCCGAATACTACGAATCTAAATTCGTCGTTGGCGTTTTTCCACAAACGTAAAAACATATTGCTTGTAAATAAATAACTTAAGCAGAAATGTGTCTTCATAATCTTAAGTATTTATGTTGGGGGTTTGCTCTAAACCCGTCTTCCATAGTTTAACATTCATCGGAGCATAAAATACCAAAATAAAAACTCAGTCTATTCCATTCCTATGCTTGTTCCTAATGCCACGGTGTTAAATTGAAGACTAACCATACAACAAAATATATCATGAGTCTTTATTCGTGAGCTATTTTATAAAGAAAGTTTACTTTATAGGCCCAAATCCTTCCTAGTCATTCGTGCTTGCCCGGAAATTAAATTTGCCCTAATACACTAAAGTCCAGCAAAGGCAAGCACAACATCCAATAACACTGAAATGTAAAATAAACCTAATTAATCGTAGCTCTCCTACGTATATTTGAAAGAGTTATTTGGAAATAGAATTTATATAAAACTGATTGAAAAAAGTCAAGAGTAGGCCACGATGTTTTCACCTCACATGGTAGCCAGTGTATATTTCAAGAAAATATATTTACAGGAATTTCTTTGGAAACAATGATTAGATGAAATACCCCCGCCGCAGCAAACCTGCCGACTAAGCGAATTTCCATTTGTCTGAATTGATTTTCAGTTAAATATATTTTAACTAGCAGAGTACCCGTCCTTCGTACGGGGTTGGAATATAAAATGCTTATTGCAGTTATACTCAAGCTTTGCGTTTGCAATAAGGGAGGACACAGTTTGATAAAATTTGCTTTTTTAAATTTACAGTATTCTATAGTATTACACATCTACCATAGCCATAATGTTCTACCACTTCACCTAAACAATAGAGAAAAATAAATTATCAACAATTCGCAAAATATCACAAATTATTCATGAAATGAAAAACATAAACATAACTGTAAACAATCCTACTTTGACAGTTCTCATTGCGAATCACAGTTTTTTGTTGCTACTTAGTTCAAATTAGCTGTTTTCATAAATGCAAAAAAATATAGTGCTGCACCCTGTTGGTAAATCTTATAACTTTTTAATGCTTTTCCATATCATAGAACCAAATTTTTTTAGTTGAAACAGCTGACTAAATTCTTTAATTCCCTTTAAATATGAATACTCATAATAGTCTGGTTGCCGGTCAAAAAACCTGGAAGTAAGGTCCACCCGAAGTTTTATGGTGTTTTCTGTTTCTTCAAGACCTACATAACTAAAATCTGCAAGGTGCCACTTTGTCACCCTTGAGCAAATTGAAATATTCAAGATGGCGGCCAAGATGGCTTAAAAACTGTATATTTGCTGTATCTTTCCCTATAGAAGAGACATGATAATAATTTTTGTGTCTAATTTTATGTTTTAAGGGTCAGAGAATACCAATAATTGATTATCTTAGTAATAAAATACCCCCGCCGCAGCAAACCTGCCGACTAAGCGAATTTCCAGTTGCCTGAATTGATTTTCAATTAAATGTATTTAATTAACATTAATTTTTATGAGTACATAGGCTTGCTGCTACAGGGAGGTTAAAAAATAGTGGTTTTTAGTGAAATATTAATAACTTAGTATAAAATAAATAAATTTACCAAGTTTGATCAAAATATATCCATAAACAAGCAGACTACAACATTTTACAATATTCCCCATAAGAATAACATGGGAATTTTAAAATAACAATTATTTAAATTTTCTCCGTAACTAATAATGGTACAAAAACACTTTGATATTCTAAATTATTTGCTTTTTTAAGCTCTTTAAGAAGGTTTGAAGAGAAATTGGATAATTTTGCGTTTAAAGGGGCAAAAATTAGAAAAACAAATTTTTACCCCATAAAACCCCACGTAAAACCCCGTTCCCATGGTCCGATCATGCTGGTTCGGTTTACTAATCCTGTATATCTGCTGTATCTTTCCCTATAGAAGAGACAGGATAATCATTTTGTGCCTAGTTTGATGTTTTAATTAGAAAATTACCAAAAATAATAAATCAATACAAGTTTTTAATAAATTTCCACATTAATTTGTTGCAAAGTTACCTTATCAACAATGTTTTCAAGTATTTACTTGACTTAAAACATTATATCTATGGTTTCTGAGGATAAGTGCTACATTCAAACAGAACACAGTCATCAAATCAGTTAACTTACAAGCAGTTCTCCTAATTGATGCTTGTGCTGTACTGGGGACAGTGCATTATCCTTCTTCAGGAACAGTGAATGACTTTATCAACTGCTTTTTAAATTATAGTTTTCTTGAATTAAGAAAAAACACTGTTCTTTAGGCTAGTCAAAATACGGTCCAACATCAAACTTAAGGTAAAAGAAATAAAATATATTTCTTCCCCATATATTCCAAAATATATGGGATTTTGTCAACAAAGGTGTCAAGAATATTGTACTAAAAATCAAGAAAAATCCAAGTGGTGGAAAGCCGCTATTTTTGAAAAAACTTCCGCCATATTGGATTTATGTAAGCTTTTAGTAAAACATCAATTATTTGACAACTAATCGTCTTAACAATCTGCGGTTTGTCTTAATAGATTCCTCTTCAAGTTTACTTTAAGATAATAATAACCTTATACCATTTCATTGTTGATTTATTTAAAATAGACAGCTTTAAATTGAAACAATAGCAAATTTCGAAGATTTTTTTTGTAAAACCTTTAAATGTTTGCAAATACAAACTCAGGTGATAAGAACATTCATATTTTGTGGCTCTTAAAAGAATCTGAATACAATTTTCAACAATCATCAACCTCATATCAGTTTGTATATTGCTTTGAAGATATATTATGGGATATATTGTTATTAGTCTTCAACTTGGAACACTAGCCGTGACGCGGGCTGCACCACTACATCTAGTCCGATTAAAATACACTTTGAGGTGGGAAAAATTGCTTTGAGAACATTTAAAACATATTTTGGAATCATACATTCATACACATAGGGCAATGTATAAAAAGATCTGACAAAATCCGAGCATGAGAACACTGAAAAAGTAGGGGTTTTGAAACATACCAAAATTCAATTTTTCATAATAGACAATTACATATATGTGTCCGTGAACACGATAACTTGAGTAATTTTTATACAATTTTGATGAAATTTGGTTTGAAGGTGTAAGGCGGGATAAACTTGAATGAGTTCGAGAACCAGCATGATCGGACCATGGGAACGGGGTTTTACGCGGGGTTTTATGGAGTAAAAATTGTTTTTTCTAATTTTTGACCCTCTAAACGCAAAATTTTCCAATTTCTCTTCAAACCTTCTTAAAGAGCTTAAAAAAGCAAATAATTTAGTATATCAAAGTGTTTTTGTACCATTATTAGTTACGGAGAAAATTTAAATAATTGTTATTTTAAAATTCCCATGTTATTCTTATGGGTAATATTGTAAAATGTTGTAGTCTGATTGTTTATGGATATATTTTGATCAAACTTGGTAAATTTATTTATTTTATACTAAGTTATTAATATTTCACAAAAAAAAACACTTTTTTACCCACCCTGTAGCAGCAAGCCTAAGTACTCATAAAAATTAATGTTAATTAAATACATTTAATTGAAAATCAATTCAGGCAACTGGAAATTCGCTTAGTCGGCAGGTTTG